TCCACCGAAGGCCCCAGTAGGGGTGCCCGCATGCGTCCGCCACACCCAGTACAGCGCTTCGTGGCCCCATAGGGAGCTCCACCGAAGCCTCCAGTGGGGGTGCCCGCATGCGTCCGCCACACCCAGTACAGCGTGTCGTGGCCCCATAGGGAGCTCCACCGAAGGCCCCAGTGGGGATGCCCGCATGCGTCCGCCACACCCAGTACAGCTTTCCGTGGCCCCACATGGAGCTCCACCGAAGGTCTTAGTGGGACCGCCCGCATGCGTCATCCCAGTTCAGTACAGCGTTTCGTGGCCCCATATGGGGGCTCCACCGAAGGCCCCAATGGCATCGGCCGCATGCGTCTCCACAGCCCACTACAGCGCGTCGTGGCCCCACGGAGCTCAACCGAAGGCCCCAGTGGGACCACCCGCATGCGCCCCCCCCCCACCCAGTACCGCACGCCCCATCACGCGTTGCGTGGCCCACCGGAAGCGGCACCCAGCACGCGTTTTTCACATTTGCGTATGGCTTCTCACAACTGCATCTGGTCGGGTCCTTCGCCAGGATAATTCTTTGATGGTCCCCGGGCCCAGTGAGGGTCTGGAGAGTCCGAGAATCTCCAGAACATGCTCACACTTTTCTTTGCATGCGGGGTCCGGACCTCCCCCCTGCAGATCTTATCGTGTCTCGCCGTCGGCCCCAGGGCATGAAGAAGTATTGGTCCTTCTGGAACTTCATCGACTGGCTCAACATCGTCTACGCGGGGGTCCTCACGTTCCTGTGGAGTGCGCCCTCGCCAGCCCCTGCGCGCTGCTCGCCTCCCGCTTGCACTGCCAGGGAGGATCGAATCAGGAAACATGCGCTGAGTTCTTGGATCAGCGTGAGACCTCTCTCCCTGGCGGCTCCTCCGGCGCCGCCCCTCGCGCGCTCCTTGCGTCAGGGAGGGGGCTTGGCGCCGATCCAAGAAATCCGCGCGGACCTCCGATAGTTTATGTTTAGTGCCATTTTTTGGGCCTCTGGACTCGTCGTCGTCGTCGTCGTCGTCGTCGTCGTCGTCGAATCGTGACGGCAGGCAGCGTCGCTGCTGACCGTGCTGTGTGAGCCGCCTTGCCTCTGCTCCCGCTCTTACAGCACGGGCAAGAAGACAATTCGCCTCAGATGTTGCCCTCCTGGGGTCCTGCCCTTCGCCTCTCGGCGCCTTTCCTGCCCTTCGCACCATGCCGGACCCGGGCAGGGAGACGTCGCGCAGGTCAGGTTTCGGAAAGTGCCAGATGCAGCACGCGCATCGCGTGTGGAGTAGAAGCGGACACGCAATGCTTGCCAGCCTGGACCTCAAATAGTGGGTCCTTGCATTCTCGATGTGCAGTCTTTGTGGTGCAATGTGTGCGGTTTTTCGCGGCGACGAGATTGGGGGGATACCCAGGGGGGGGTTCCCAGCTTGGGCCGGCCTTAGGGACCTCTTGGGGGCATCTTTGTCTTTTTTGGGCCCTCTTGGGATTCGTTTGGGGGCCTCTTGGGCCGTCTTCGGGCGCTCTTGAAAGGCGCTCTACGGCAATCACACAACAGCACACGAATTAAACATGTTTTTGTCCTCCTTGGTCCAGTTCCCAGGGCCTCCAAGTCGGCCCAAGGGATCCCCACCAGAACGACCCCTTGGGGCCACCTTACAGCATGGTGGAGGTGGAGGCCCGCGGCCAGGCTGCTGGGGCCTCAGGAGAAGTCGCGCGGGCATTCCCGAGACCGCCTAGCAGCGCCCGAGAGCGCCCGTGACTTCGGGGTCTGGACACTTCAGCACTCCGTACAGCACTCAGCACAGGGAGCTCGAAAGGACCTGAGGATAGTTCACCACCGTGCCGTAGGCACGGTGGTGCGTGAATGTATTCGGTCAATGTAGAATTGTATCGAAGACGCCTACAGTTAAGTCGGGCTTGTCTCTCTATAGGGGGGATATTCAAAAATAGTCAAGAATAGTATGGGAACTGTTTTTTTGAGTATTTTTGGGTATCTTTTGATCATTTCTGAAGCATGTTTTATTTTTCGTAGAGGGACAGGCCCGACCTAAGCCTACGGCGAATCACCGCCGCCCCCTGCCCCTTTGGAAGCGCCTCTGTGGCCGGCAGCTGGGCCAGAGCCTGGCCAAGCTGTCGGGCCAGTTGTTCCCCGAGCCGGTTTGGAAAGGCTTCAGGGGACGCGTGGGGGAGCAAGACGAGGAGGGGGAGGATGAGGAAAAACGAGGCGGAGGAGGAGAAGAGGAGGAGGAGGAGCAGTAGCAGGAGGAGGAGGAGGAGGAGGAGGAGGAAGAGGAGGAGGAGGAGGAGGAGGAGGAGGAGGAGGAGGAGGAGGCCTCTTGGGCGCCTCTTGGGGCACTTAGGACCTCCTGGGAGCTTCCTGGGGCTCTCTTGGAGGGTTTTTGGGGGCCTTTGGGGGCTTCTTGGGCGCCTCTTTGGCCGCCTTAGGGCGTTCCTGGCTTGTCTGACGCCGTCGGAAGCCGTCTTGGGGGCCTGTCTGAGTCGTCTTGGGACCCTCTTGGGGCATATCAGGGGTTCTTAGAGGCCACCTTGGGCGTCTTGGATGCCTCTTGGGCCGTTTTCGGGCCCTCTTGGAGCCGTCTTGGGGGCCTTTGGGGCCGTCATGGGGCCATCTTGGAGGCCTCGTGGGCGATCTTGGGGCGATCTTGGGGGCCTCTTGCGCCGTCTTGAGCCGTCGGAAGGCCGAAAAGAAGCAAATGCCAGAATCTGTCAAAAACCACGAGAAAATCAATGAATTTGGCCTCTTCGGGCGACCTGGAGGACCTCCTAGAGGCCTTCTGGGCCGTCTTGGAGGCCTCTTGGGGGCCTCTTGGGGGCCTCTTGGGCCGTCTTGCGCCATCTTGACGCCATCTTGAGGCCATCTTAGGCCGTCTTGGGTGCATCTTGGGCCGTCTTGGAAGCATTTTTGGGCCATCTTAGCCGTCTTGGAGGCCATTTTGACGAACGTGCAAGAGGCCTCTGACCCACAACCCAGGCACGTAGGCGGATTGAACCGAAGACCGCTCGAGACGGTCATGCGCAGTTACATGTGTACACATGGCGATGTCAGCGAGGGTAGCCGTGATCGTAGCCATGTTAGAGATGGCGATGATGGCGGTCGCGGCGAGAGTGCCCGTGGTACCGGAGGCAGCCGTGGCGCAGCTGTGACGAGAGCCTAAGCGCGCGAAGTCTGCGCGTGGTCTAGTACATACTTATGTTTGTATGCATCTTAGTTTCATTCACGTGGAGGGCAGCCAGACGTGACACGTGCATTCGCATATGCAGACACATCAGTGGTAAGTTCCAAGATGGGCATGTGTACAATACAAAGGTTTTGTGTGATTTGTAACGTTAGAGCAAGCATGTCTGCAGATATACATGCATCAGCGATGGTGATCGTACGGGCAACGGTCAGCGTTATAGTGCAAAGCTTTGTGATTGGTGTCCATGGCCGATTCGTCAGCTAACGAGCAGAGGTACCTCTGAGGTCGAGCCCTGTCTGGGGAACAGCGGGGCGGCATCCTAAGTGCGACATTCACAGGGAGTGGATGGAGGGAGTGGAGTCGAGGCGGGGGAGTGGATTGCCGTCTTCTAGAGCGCGCATCTTTTCTTCGCTCCTGTCCTTCCTTGCCCACTTTTTTGCGAGCCTGAGCTGGCGTGGACGTGTGTGATCTCCGCCTCGCCCACGCAGCCCTCAGGCCAGCACCTGCAGCGCATGGCCGAGGTGGTGGACGTGATGAAGACCGCCGACGTGAACACAGAAGGGACGGCAGCCGCGGCATCAGTCTTTTGCGTGTCTGTTGGGAGGAGAGGAGGAGGAGGAGGAGGAGGAGGAGGAGGAGGAGGAGGAGGAGGAGGAGGAGGAGGAGGAGGAGAGGAGGAGGAGGAGGAGGGGAGGAGGAGGAGGAGGAGGAGTGGAGGAGGAGGAGGAGGGGGGGGGGAGGAGGAGGAGGAGGGGAGGAGGGAGGAGGAGGAGGAGGAGGAGGGGAGGAGGAGGAGGAGGAGGAGGAGGAGAGAGGAGGAGGAGGGGAGGAGGAGGAGCAGGAGCAGGAGCAGGAGGGAGGTGAGGAGGAGGAGGAGGAGAGGAGAGAGGGGAGGAGGCAGGGCAGGAGCAGGAGGAGGAGCAGGAGGAGAGGAGGAGCGGGAGGAGGAGGAGGAGGAGGAACGGGGGAGAGGAGGAGGAGGAGGAGGAGGAGAGCGAGGAGGTGAATGATGGGGTGGTGCAGGAAGGGGGCGAAGGAGGAGGGGGGCGAGGAGGAGGACGAGGAGGAGGACGAGGAGGAGGAGGAGGAGGAGGAGGAGGAGGAGGAGGAGGAGGAGGAGTGTGCTGTACCGCCGCGACCGTGGTGACGGCCAGTGTGGCATGACGTTGAGCCCTTGATGCTCGGGCAGAGCCTCTGCCCCGTGGTCTTAGGTCGGGCCTGTCCCCCTACAGGGGGGTTTTGGACGAACAATTAAAGGCACTCCAGAAATATTCAATAATCTTAAAAAAAAACTCAAACAGTGGTTCCCAGATATTTTTTTGACCATTTTTGCACATTCCCCTTGCAGAGGGGCACGCCCGACTCAACCGTGGTGGTTCCGCGCAGCCAGCCCGGCCCAGCCAGGGCGTCTCTCCGCCCGTGTCTCTCCACGCCCGTGGCCTCTGCCGCACCCCTCGCTTCTCGCCCTTGGTCCGGGGCGGGGGCTCCGCCCGGGGGAGCGGCCTCTCTGGGGATCCCGGCAGGCGGTGGGTGGAAATCTCCAGGCCCCCTTGAAGGGCTCACCGTGCCTGCGTGGCCCCACCCGCCCGCCAGCGGCGCCCACGGGCGTCGCCTCCCTCGGGCGGCAGGGTGTGGGCTGCTCCCCGCCACAGGCGAACCCGACCCCTGACCCCCACGATTTCTGAGGGGGAGGGTGGGGTTCGCTTCACTCGGGAGCTCCCCAGCGAAGCCAACCCCACCCTCTTCCCCCCAGAAGTCGTGGGGGGGCAGGGGTATAGGGTTCGCCTGTGGCCCCCTGACTCGCGAGGAGCTGGGCGCAGGAGTCCGAGCGGCAGGAGTGGTTCGACATGATGCACGAGATGGCGGAGAATCAGCACATCGTGCGATCCCTGGCGGGGCGCTCGGAGCGGCGCGTCGCCGCCTCCCCTCGGGGAGGGAGGAGGAGGTGCAGGGGAAGAGGGGGGGGGAGGAAGAGGAAGAGGAAGGGCGATTCTGCTTGTCTTGATGTCGGAGGAGGAGGGGAAGACCTTCCCCTCCCCTTCCTCCTTGTCCTTCTTGGCGGGGGCTGGGGGGCAGCCGAGGAGCGTCTCAGTCGAATATTCAGGGTGCCGGTTTCCTTCTCGCACTTTTTTTTTTGTTTCTTTGAAGTGGAGGCCCAGGCGTCCCATCGCCCCCACGGCTGAATCTTGACCCGCGGTCGGCTTGCTCGAATGGAATCTCGTTTTCCTCCCCTCCTCTCCCTTCCTTCTCTCCCTTTCTTCTTTCTCAGAGCGGCAGCCTGGTCGCGGAGTGTATTGAGAAGAGGGCATTCAAGGGAGACGGTTATTTTATGGTAAACCGTCATTTTTTGAGTGCATACGGGTCTCCCAAGCGAATTATGTAGCTGTAGTTGCCCCTCTTGATGTGAGTCTACTTGTTTTGGAACAACCGTTGGGGCTACGGCCACACCGCCGTCGCCTCAACGGCCTGCGGCTGTGCGCTTTCTTTGCGGCTGCGGGCTTAGGCACATGCGTGACATGCACGATCTTGACAGCGGTATTCTGCTTCTCTAGGTTTCCCAGCTGGGATCAGAGTAGATGGGTCGGATAATTCCGCCGCATCGCCGATCCGTCGGCGATGCGGCGCAATGTGGAGCTAGATTTTCTCCACGCCGACGTCGCCGACTCATCGCTGACGTCGCCGATGATGCGTTGGCGGTGCGGCGCGATCCTCCGACCCCGTCCGCTCTGACCCCACCCTGGAGACCTTACAAGGGTCGCCAGTCTTTGAATTTTGGTGGTACTTCAGTGCATTATCTAGCGCAGAAGCGGACGTCAGAACCCACGCAGGAGTGGGGCTTTTTGTGGCATTTTGGGCTCGACAATCATCCACACGTACAGGCACAGGAAGGCTCGCGTTCGCCTTCGAGTCTCAGGTGGAGTGTTGACGCTTATCACAGCGTACGGGTGGACCAACGCATATCTACGACGTCAAGGACGTGTTCTTTACCGAACTCTTTTGGTTCAGAGCGTGAATTACCTACCCCGCTTTCGCTTCCAGGCAAAACCAAGTCATGCCACGCGCCTCCTCGTCAAGCGGCCTGACCAGTACAGGCCGTAGTTTGGCACCGCCTGGTATCTCTTGGAAGCGAGGGTGGTCAAAAGCGAGGTAGGTTTGTTTTCCCCCTACTGGTGCCTCGCATTAGTCTGCTATTCTTCTTTGCGTCTTCAGCGCGAGGCCCTTGCGTCATTGTTTAGGGGGAGATCATGCCCTGGGAGACTATGAACTTGAACATCCACTGGGAAAGTAGTCACCGTCTTCCAGCCGAAAGTTGTTGTAACGTTGTTCGTGTGTTGCGGAGAGCCCCACCAAACCTTTCTAAGAGTCTCTGGGGGGTTTCCGGAGGTCCCCTGGGCGCCTTTCGGGGGCATTTGGGGTTTCCTCGGGCCACTTTGGTGAGAACCACAGTCTCTGTCAACGATGGGGTTACGATTTGGAGTGCTGAGGGCGGCGTCTTGGGGCCATCTTGGGCCGTCATGGGGCTCTGCATGGCCGTCTTGCGACTCTCTTGGACTGTCTGCAGGTCCTTTTGGGTTGTTTCGGGCCGTTTCTGGGGCCTTGTTTATACATATAACGGCGCAGCGGGCCCGGGCGCCCAGGGCCGGAACCTCGACCACAAATGTGGGCCCCCGGGCCCTGGACCGCCTCTCGGAGGCCTAGAATCGCCCCAGGGAGCCCTCAGACAGCAATCCGGGCGGCCAGACGGTCTCGAGACACCCTCAAGACGCCGTCCAGGGGCCTCTGGCAACGCACGATGCGTTTTCAACTGCCCTGGAGGCCCCCAACACGCCCCGATAGGCCGTTCAGATGCCGCCCAAGAGCGCCCCGAGAGGGCAACATCGTTGATTATCATTTGTTTTTGAATGTTTTTTTTTTTTTTTTTGTTTTTGCATTTTCGCTGTTTCGTGTTTCCGGCGCTAAAGCACCGCCCAAGATGCTTCCAAAACCGCTCCCAGACAGCCCAAGAGGCCCCCAAGAGGGCCCCAAGACGGCCCAAGAGAGCCGCGAGACAGCCCCAGAGCCGCCCAAGACAGCGCAAGAGGGTCCCGCCCCCAGAGGGGCTCAAGAGAGGGAACGCGAACTGAAAAATCAAGCTCTCCGCCCCAAGATGCCCCCCCAAAGGCCCCAAGAGGCACCGCAGGAAGCCCTAAAGAGGCTCCAAGAGGCCCCCAAGAGGCCGCACGATGTGTTTCAAGCTGCCCCAGAGGCCCCAAAGATGCCCTAAGAGGCCTTTAGGATGCCGCCCAAGAGCGCCCCGAGAGGGCAGCATCGTTGATTGTCATATGTGCTTTCAATGTTTTTTTTTCATTCTCGCTGTTTCGTGTTTACAGCGCTGAAGTACCGCCCAGGAGGCTTTCAAAATCGCTCCCAGACGGCCCAAGAGGCCCCCAAGAGGGCCCCAAGACGGCCCAACAGAGCCGCGAGACGGCCCCAGAGCCGCCCAAGACGGTGCAAGAGGGTCCCGAGAAGGCCCCCAGAGGGGCCCAAGAGAGGGAACACGAACTGAAAAACCAAGCTCTCCGCCCCAAGATGCTCCCCCAAAGGCCCCAAGAGGCCCCCAGGAAGCCCTAAAGAGGCCCCAAGAGGCCCCCAAGAGGCCGCACGATGTGTTTCAAGCTGCCCCAGAGGCCCCAAAGATGCCCTAAGAGGCCTTTAGGATGCCGCCCAAGAGCGCCCCGAGAGGGCAACATCGTTGATTGTCATATGTGTTTTCAATGTTTTTGTTGCATTCTCGCTGTTTCGTGTTTCCGGCGCTAAAGCACCGCCCAGGAGGCTTTCAAAATCGTTCCCAGACGGCCCAAGAGGCCCCCAAGAGGGCCCCAAGACGGCCCAACAGAGCCGCGAGACGGCCCCAGAGCCGCCCAAGACGGCGCAAGAGGGTCCCGAGAAGGCCCCCAGAGGGGCCCAAGAGAGGGAACGCGAACTGAAAACCAAGCTCTCCGCCCCAAGATGCTCCCAAGAGGCCCCAAGAGGCCTCCAGGAAGCCCTAAAGAGGCCCCAAGAGGCCCCCAAGAGGCCGCACGATGTGTTTCAAGCTGCCCCAGAGGCCCCAAAGATGCCCTAAGAGGCCTTTAGGATGCCGCCCAAGAGCGCCCCGAGAGGGCAGCATCGTTGATTGTCATATGTGCTTTCAATGTTTTTTCTTCATTCTCGCTGTTTCGTGTTTACAGCGCTGAAGTACCGCCCAGGAGGCTTTCAAAATCGTTCCCAGACGGCCCAAGAGACCCCCAAGAGGGCCCCAAGATGGCCCAAGAGAGCCGCGAGACGGCCCCAGAGCCGCCCAAGACGGCGCAAGAGGGTCCCAAGAAGGCCTTAAGAGGGGCCCAAGAGAGGGAACGCGAACTGAAGAATCAAGCTCTCCGCCCCAAGATGCCCCCAAGAGGCAGCAAGAGGCCCCCGGGAAGCCCCCAAGAGGCCCCATGAGGCCCCCAAGAGGCCCCAAGAGGCCCCCAAGAGGGCCCCAAGATGGCCCAAGAGAGCCCCGAGACGGCCCCAGAGCTGCAGAGAGGGTCTCAAGAAGGCTCCAAAAGGGGCCCAAGAGAGGGAACGCAAGAGGCCCCCGGGAAGCCCCAAAAGGCCCCCAAGAGGCCCCAAGAGGCCCCCAAGAAGCCCCAAAGAGGCCCCAAGAGGCCCCAAGACGGCACCCAAACGGCTTCAAAGCTCTTTCTAAGAGGCCCCCGAAGACATGCCAAGAAGGTCCCAGGACGATTTCAAGGAGCAGTCCAGGATGCTCCGAAGAGGCCCCCAAGAGAGCCCAAGGGGCCCCCAAGAGGCCCCTAAGCGGCTTCAAGCAGCATCCAGGAGGCCGGAAACAGGCCCCCAAGAGCCCAGCGGTCCAGGCTTGGGCCGAACGAACATTTCCAGCTTTGGGCCCCCGGAAGCCCATCAGGAAACCCTAAGAGTTCGACCATCCAGCCTAGCTAGAACTTGAGCGCACGCGAAGCGCGCGATGGCTCTAGTTGCATGGAGTGATCAACATGCACATACGTCCCCGTGTGCCAACACGAATGGGTATCGCCTCAGTCTGCCGGGTGCCTGTTGCCATTTGGGCTCAGGTGCTCGGCCGATTTTGAACAACGGTTGGGCGCAGATGCTGGCCTTTGGGCCGTGCGCCCTCGACGCCGCGCGGTGGCGGGCCAGCAAGATGCTTCATGAATATCACCTCATCGGCCCGCGCCCTGGCGCTGCAGGCGGAGGAGGCCGAGTTCGAGTGAGCGTTCGTGCAGGTGGCGAAGGCCGCGGATTTCAGCGTGGAAGAGGCGCGGCTGCCATTGAAGGAGTTCGTGGAACAGGCAGTGGCCGAAGAGCCAGTGCAGAAGCGGTAAAGGGCGTTCCACGGCCGCCTTTGGCTAGCCATTGTGGAGGACGCCGCGGCGTTCTTCGGTATGGCTGCCTGCCGAAGTGCGACGGAGGCCACTCTGCCCGCGGGGGCCCGTGCGATGGCGGGGGCCTGCTTCGTTCGGAAATGCCGCGCGGCTGCTGGGTAGGGCCGTGGCGGATTCGAGGTGCAGGAGCGGGCTCGGTGGTGGCCCCGCCTGGTCGCGCTGCTCGAGGAGATGGAATTCTCCTGCGTGGGTTCGAAAGGGCGAAGGACGGCGTCGCGGGCCGCGCGCGCATCGACGCGGTGAGGTCGTGCGTGCGGGCCGTGGGGACCATGTGCAGGTGTTTTTTTTTGCGCCCGCGCGGGTTCCCGCGGCCCGTGGTGATTGTGCACTTCATCGAACTATGTGCATGCCGGGGCGGCTGGCCCATCCAGGCCTTGCGCGCCATGGCGTGGACAGAGCGCGTAGCAGGCGTGGACCAGAACGACGGGCCCTCCACTGGACCCGAGGCCCAGCGGGTCGTGGCAAACCTTGAGTTGCTTCTCGGTGCGGGCTAAGGCCCGGCGACGAGGGCGGCGCGCTTTCCCGCCGCGTTCATCGTTGCCCTGGAGCGGCTGATCATGGACGAGGACCTCGCGCGGTGCCCTCGCGGCGTGGGCCGTCCTGCGCTACGACGATGGCAGCTGGCCCCCACCGCGGCGCCTCGCTTTCGTGGGCGGGGGGCTGACGGCCATGCTGGGGCTCGTGAGGACCAGCGGAGTAGGGCGAAATATTCCAGAGCAGCCGCCTGAGGTATCCCGCGAGTGATGCTTGATGGGCCTGGCGTGGATTCAGGCGGGCTTCGACCTGTTGCCAGATGCCGCAGACTTCGGGAGGGGCTACTTCTTGTCGCGGTGCGACGACGCGGGGCACGGGGCGGCCCGCGAGCCCGACGGGTAGCGTTCTGCCGAGCGGGGGGGGGCCGTTGCTCGGTCCGCGACCTTTAGCTCGAACGACTTGGGCCGAGGCCCGCAGGGTCACTTGCGCCCTTTCGGTTGGCCCCCAGCGTCGCCCGCGCCGCCCGGTGCGTGGGTCGGTCGACAACGCGCCGCCGAAGGCATTCGCGCAATGTGAGGAGGACAGGGCGCTCGCGTCGCCGAGCTCGGACCTGCTTTTCCTCCTCGCGAAGGGGGGCGTGCCGTTGAACGTGCAGTCGCTGCTCTGCTGTGTCCCTGCGGAGTGACGAGCGCGCTGAGTTCTCCGCCCCCATGAACTCGGGCGATGACGTCGGGGAGTCCGCTGCCACGCGCGCGCTCGAGCAGGGCGCGGGGGTCGGGTCAGCCGCGCGCGAAGGTGGCCGCGCTGGCGCGCGCTTGGCTGGCGGCGCGCGCCCGGATCGAGCAGCGGCGGGATGTCGAGGGTGACGCCGGCGCGCGCCAGGGGGCCATCCCACCGAGCGCGAGCGATCATTAGGCGACGCGGTTGACCTTCGAGAAGGCATGGTGGAATCCCGAGGAGGGCCTGGCGCCGGCAAGGTACTGCCTCGGCCAGACAAGCGGAGACCGATCGGGTCTGGTCCACGCAGTCCAGGAAGGCCGTGGCCGTCCAGGCCGAGCCCCGACGTGGCCCAGGTGCGCTGCGGAAGCGCGTATTGCTGATGGGCGCGGGCGTCCCCGTGCTCGGCCAGCGCTGCGCGAACAAGCATGATGTGCAAGGCGGGGGCCCGCGGCGGCGCCGGGCGCAGCTGGGCTGCGCGCGGGGGGGGGGGGCGGGGGGGGCGCGTCTTGGACCTCGCGGCAAGGGGCTCGCAGTGCGAAGTGGCTGCGCGCCCGCCGTGGGACTGGTATTGCGGTGCGAACGTCGGGGGCGCCAGGATGCTTGGCAGCTGGCGCGGCAGGGTCGCCGGGAGTTCCACGCGGCGCTCTGGAGGGCGACGGGCGACTCAATGGTCAAAGGAGCGCTGCGCCATGACGCCGCTGACCTCCGCAAGCGCGGCGGTCCGCGACCGGCCGCGGCAGCCGCCTCGACAGTCGGGGCGGCGGGGGCTCAGCCCGCCGAAGCGGACGCGCAGGGGCGGGGCGCGCAAGGGGGGCGGCCAGTGATCTGACCGGGTGCGCGGGCTTGGCTTCGCAGACGCCTGGCGGCGAGAAGATCTCTTTCAGGTGCAACTCCAAGATGGCCATGTGCGACCCGAAGAAAGGCCGCCTCTCCAGGTGTGCTCGCTCTGCTTCGCGCAGGGCCACCCGCGGTGCGAGTGCAGAGGGCCGGCTCGCGGTGCAGATGCGCGGGGCGGGGCTCTCTCGGCCCCCCGCGGCGGCGCCGCCCGTCCTGGGCGCTCCGAAGGGCAGGCGGGCGCTGCCGATGCCGCCGGGCAGGGGCAGCAAACGGCGTTGGCGCCGGGGTGGCGACGGCGGCGGCGCAGGGCCGCCGCCGGCAGAACAGGTCCAACGGCCTTGGGTGGCTGGGTCCTCGCGCCCGGGCTCCGCGCGAACGCGGCCGGCGCCCTCCGCGGGGCGGGGCCGGGGCGGGCGGCGGCGTTGCCGAGCGACCCTTCGGGGCGGGGGCCGCGCCGGCGCGCCGTCGGGGGGATTGGGGCGCGACCCGCAGAGGATGTCGCCGGCGGGGGGGGGGGGCGCGCGATTCTTGGCCCACCCCGCAAGGTCGCCCTAACGCCCGCGCGCGAGGTCCGAGAGTCAGATTCAGGAGGGCGCGAAGAAGCGGGACGGGCGCCATGCGCCCCCCGTGATCCATGGGGCGGGCCGCAGGGGGCAGCTGCAGCTGAGGGTGCTCTACCTCGCGGGGCGCGACGGGTGGGCGCTGCCGCTTTCGCGCGACACCTCGGCATGCTCGCGCGCCTAGAAGAGGCGGGCCTGGCCGCCAGGTCGGGCGACGCCGACCCCCTCGACGCGGCGCTGCAGGGTGGCTTCCCCAGGAGGAGGCTGGCGGCGAGCGGGCGGGGCGGTCTCGCCCCCCTGCAGCCGCCAGTCGCAAGTTGCGTGGGTGGGCCGCCGAGTTCCGCGCCAGGCGCCGTCAGAAAAATGCCCTTGGGCTTTCCCTTGGCTTCGGGGTCGAGAGGCGCTGGGGCGCCGGGTATTTCCAACTCCCGTAGACTTGTCTCTCCGCGCGCTGAAGGCGCAGCTTGCGAGCGGCAAGCTGGCGGCTGGCCTCCCCCGGGGGCTTCGGCGCCGCCCGGGCGGGTGACCTCGGCGGTCGGCGCCTCGCTGGCGCGCGGCAGCTGCCGGTGGTGAGCGAGCTCCTCGTTTTCGACGGTGCGCATGCAGCGGCCCTCCGCCGCAGCGGCTTCGGCGCGCCGTGCCCGAAGCCGACGCGCCTCGTCGGTCGGTCTCCGGAATTGGCCGCCCTCCAACGCCTCCGCTGCGGGGGGCCGCAGTTCGACGCGGGCGACGTGCGCCGCGGGCGGCTGCCGCCGCCACCCGCGGGGCTCGCGTCGCATGGGCGCAGGCGGGGCGACGCCGCCTTCGTCGGGTGGCACAGGGCATAGGCGATGTGGCATAGCGGCTCACTGCCCACCGTGGGATGGGGGACCTTCCTTTGGGCCGCTCGCCAGGCGCGCTCGATGAGCAGGGCGATGGCGAAGACAGCGGCGGCGCCGCAGGGCCCCCGCCCATCGAGGGCGGCCCGCTCGGCAACGGTGGCATCTGCGTCGGGGGGGGGGGCAGCGGCGAGGTCTTGGTGCGCAACTTGGGCAATTCCTTCTCCGCCGAGCGCTATGGCATGAAGGTCTCCATCGCGAACTTGGTGGATCGGCCCCCGGCGAGACCAGGCCTGCTCGAGGCGCTCTAGAAGCTCGACGGCGCCGCCTTCAGGTGCCAATGCGATCTGGGCCCCTTCGCGCCGACTGCCAGTCGGGCGCCATCATCGCGGCGCGGCGGGGAGACAAGGGGCGCGCGGCCGCGAGGCCCCCGCGCCAATTCGAAGGCGCAGGGCCGCCGTCCTGCTGCGAACGCACCGAGGGCCCGAGGGGATTTCGCACAGGCGCGGGCCTGCCTTCGCCTGGCTGTTAGGGTCCAGGCATTCACATTCCCGAATTGGACCGAGCTGAGGTCCGAGGCCATGGGCGGCAGGGGCGCCGCAGAACGCGCCCCCTTCGAGCTGGCGGCAAAGAGGCACCGGGCAGGCTCCGACCTGGGCGAGCCTGCAGACTTCGGGAAGGGTGCCTACGAGGCGGCCATGAGGATCTACGAAGGCTGGTTGTGTGCGCGGGGGTAGGCTGGACCGGCGACTTGGGCTGCGTCGCAGAAGGGGCGTCCCATCCGCCCCCGCTTGCTGGCGGCACTTCTATGTAAAGCAGGGCGCCCCGATGAAGAGGTGATGAAGGAGCTGGAGACGGGAGTCGCTGCGGGCATGTGGTGCGGGATGCCCCAGCAGGGGGAGCCCTGGGGAGCCTCGGGGAGGGGTCGATCTGAGGACCAGCATGTGACCAAAACCTTAGATCAATTGGTGATGTTGGTCTTCTCGCCGAGGCCTCTGGGGTGACATAGGGTGACATTCGGCTTCTTGGGGGTCTCTTGGGAGCCTCTTGGAGGCATCTTGGGGGCCTCTCGGGTGCCTTTTGGTGCCTCCTGGACGCCGTTTCGGGTCGGTTTGGGGCACCCCAGGGAGCCTCGGGGGCCAAAGGGTGGGGGGCTCTCCAATCAGCCCCCCCTCCCCCCTCAGAAGGCCATCGTGTAGTCAAAACCTTTGGTTTCCTCGGCAAGGCCATCTTGGACGTTCTGACGCTTTGCGACCCCCCCCTCCAGGTCCAGGGGGCGGGGTCGGGGGAAGGGTCGAAACACCTTCTCCGCCCGCAAGCCGTCTTGCTAACTCCCCTCCGCCCTTCCAGCACGTAGCAGCACCCGAACCGCAGCGCGTTCAGCGGTAGTCTTTGGATGAAGAGCTAATGTGAGCCAAAACAGACCCCACGTTCGCATCGTTGGGGCAGGGTGCGCCAGGCGTTCCATGCGCGCCAGTGCGCCAGGCACGCCCGTGGCCGAGGCGTGCCGGGCTCGCCAGATGCGCCACGTGATCCACGTGCGCCATGTGTGCTGGATGCCCTAACAACGCCAGGTGCGCCACGTTTGGGCATGCGCAGAGTCTGCCAAGTGCGCTTGCACACATTGCAGTACACATCGGGAGGCCCCCACCACCCTTGTCGAAAGCCAGTGCGCAATCGCGGCGGGGTGGCTATCGTGGCGTTTGGTGGGCTTGCACATAGCAAAAAGTATGCCAACACCCGCGCCGTCCCTGTCAAAAACCCATGCACAGTGATCGCGGGGTGCCCGTGGATGATCCAGATATTGTTTCGAAGTGCATGTTTTTTGTTTTCTCTTTTTTGGAAAGGGTGCTGACCTTGCGCGCAGCAGACAATATGCAGGCACCCCGCCGTCCCTGTCAGACGACAAGGCCAACGTTCTCGCGCCCCCTCGATCATGACCCATGCTGTTTCCCAACCCTCCTGTGTTGGTTTCTCGTTTTGAAAAGAGCGCTGTGGTCTCCACTCCTCCTTCCTCGTCCCCCTCTTGCCTCCTGCCTCCTGCTTCCTGTCTCTTGTCTCCTCTCCCTTCTCTTCCTCCTCCCTTCTCTCCTTCGGCCTGCTTGCGTTGAAGCCCCCGTGTGACTCTGCGTCTTTCGCGTGCTCCTGGGAAGGGGGGTCTTCGCGGCTCCCTGGGGGGCTGCGAAATGCGAAGGTGTCGCCAGCTTCGTGGGCTCCTGGGAGGGTCAGTGGAATGGAGTTGTAAACGCACCCAACCGAGACCTCGCGGTTCCTTTGGGGGGGCTGCGAGTTGTACAACTGTCGCCACTTTCGTGGGCTCCTGGGAGGCCCAGCGGAGTGGAATTGTAAACGCACTCAGCCGAGACCCCGCGGCTCACCTAGGGGGCTGCGAATTGCGCAAGTGTCGCCAGTTTCGTGGGCTCCTGGGAGGTCCAGTGTGGTGGAGTTGTAAACGCACCCAACCGAGACCTCCCCTGGGTGGCTGCGAACTGCGCAAGTGTCGCCACTTTCGTGGGCTCCTGGGAGGTCCAGCGGAGTGGAGTTGTAAACACACCTGGTCGAGACCTGGCGCGGCTCCCTTGGGGGTGCGAGCTGCGCAACGGTCGCCATTTTCGTGTGCTCCTGGGAGGCCCAGCGGAGTGGAGATGTAAACACACCCAGTCGAAACCTCGCGGCTCCCTGAGGGGGTTGCGAACTGGCATCTGTCGCCAGTTTCGTGGGCTCCTGCGAGTCCTTCAACATGTTCATGTGTATTGATCGGTCTTGTGTATCTGTGCCACATGTGTAGAAAGGGTTCGGTAAGTCGTATGGTAATGACATTTTCTTTTGACAGGGATGGTGTGTGTGGGGGGGCCCTCATTGTTCCTGGTTGGCTGCTAGTCGCCCGGGGGGAGGGGGGTGTTAATTTCAAGGAAAGAGCGTGTTCTACCGCTGCTGGCGGAAAACGGGGGGGGGTCACTGGGGGTTCCCCAACCCGTTCCCCCCCCCCTTCGAAAACCGGGGGAGGGGGTCTACCCGTTCGAACCCCTCCCCCCTCCCCCCAGTCCATCATGAAAAGGGGGAGTCACTACTGGTTCGACACCCCCCCCTCCCCCCTCGAAAACCGGGGAGTGGTCACTACCGGTTTGAACCCCCCTTCCCTCGAAAACCAGGGGGGTCGCTACTGGTTCGAACCCCCCCACCCCCCCCTCGCCGCCGCCCCCTCGCCGCCGGCAGACGATTCCCGCTCTTCGGAACAGTTGGACAATGGTGGGGATGCTGGGACAGGGGTGGGAACGGTGGTGGTGGGGACAGTGGGACAGTCGTGCGGACAGTGGTGGGGACGGTGGTGGGGACGGTGGGACAGCACAGTGGGACAGCTGCGGGGACTGGGACAGTGGTGGGACAGTGGGACAGTGGGACAGTGGGACAGTGGTTGGGACCGTGGGGAAAGTGGGGAGAGTGGGACCGTGGTGGGACAATGGTGGGGAGAGTGGGGACAGTGAGACCCTGGTGGCGGCACTGGTGGGGACACTGGTGGGGACAGCGGGGACACTGGTGGGAACAGTGGGGACAGTGGGACAGTGCTGGGGACGGTGGTGATGGGGACAGTGGTGTGGGGACACCGGGAATGTGGTGGAAACAGTGGGACAGTGGAGGGTACAGTGGTGGTGGGGACAGTGGTGAGGGCGGTGGCGAGGACGGCGGTAGGATAATGGGACAGCGGTACAGTGGGGACAGTGGTGGAGACAGTGGTGGGAACAGTGGGACAGCTCAGTGGGACAGCGGCGGGGACAGTGGGACACTGGGACACTGGGGACAGTGGGACAGTGGATGGGGCCGTGGAGAAAATGGGGGGAGTGGAACCGTGGTGGGAACAGTGGTGGGGACAGTGGGGACAGTGCGACAGTGGTGGGGACACTGGTGGGGACAGTGGGGACGGTGGTGGGAACAGTGGGGACACTGGTGGTGAGGACAGTGGTGCTGGGGACAGCAGTGGGGGATGTGGTGCGGACGGTGGTAGGAACCCGGGAGTCGTTTGCTGGCGGTGGGGTGGTGGTGGTGGTTCGAATCAGTAGTGACCTCCCCCGGTTTTCGGGGGGGGGGGTCGAATCGAACTGACCCCCCCCCAGTTTTCGAGGGGGGGGGGTTCGAACCGGTAGTGACCCCCATCGGTTTTCGAGGGGGGGGGGGGGGTGGCGGGGGTTCGAACCGGTAGTGACCCCTTCCTGTTTTTTTGGAGGGGGTGGAGGGGTTCGAACCGGTAGTGACTCCCCCGTTTTTCCCCATATCCTAAGATGGGGTTCTTGTTATTATTTGGACGCCTCCTACTCCCTCTCCTTCTTCCTCCTCCTCTTTCCTCCTCCCCTCTTGTCGGACTTACTCATACTCAGACTTGCTCATACTCAGACTTACTCATACACAGACTTACTCATACTCAGACTTACTCATACTCAGACCTACTCATACTCAGACTTACTCACACTCAGACATACTCATACACAGACGTACTCATACACAGACTTACTCATACCCAGACGTACTCATACACAGACTCACTCATACCCAGACTTACTCATACACAGTACGCTTGGAGAGCAGATTGTAAGGATGTCTCAGGCGGGGCGCTGGTTCAGCACCCCTAAGGGGAGCCGCCAGGGGTGGTTGCACGGGCTCGTTCGCGGCCATTTTGTGGGGATGTCTCATGCGGTTTGCCTGTTTCTGTGCCCAACATCCTCGGTTTCGGAGCAGATTTGGAGGATGTCTCGAGCGAGGCGCTCATTTCAGCACCCCTAAGGGGGGCCGCCAGGGGTGGTTGACGGGCTCGTTCGCGGCCATTTTGTGGGGATGTCTCAGGCGGTTTGCCTGTTTCTGTGCCCAACATCCTTCGCTTTCGGAGCAGATTTGGAGGATGTCTCGAGCGAGGCGCTCATTTCAGCACCCCTAAGGGGAGCCGCCAGGGGTGGTTGCTCGGGCTCGTTCGCGGCCATTTTGTGGGGATGTCTCAGGCGGTTTGCTTGTTTCTGGGCCCAACATCCTTCGCTTGGAGAGCAGATTGTGAGGATGTCTCAGGCGGGGCGCTGGTTTCAGCACCCCTAAGGGGAGCCGCCAGGGGTGGTTGCACGGGCTCGTTCGCGGCCTTTTTGTGGGGATGTCTCAGGCGGTTTGCCTGTTTCTGTGCCCAACATCCTTCGCTTTCGGAGCAGATTTGGAGGATGTCTCGAGCGAGGCGCTCATTTCAGCACCCCTAAGGGGAGCCGCCAGGGGTGTTTGCACGGGCTCGTTCGCGGCAATTTTGTGGGGATGTCTCAGGCGGTTTGCT